ATATGTGAGTGGTTAGCGTTGCGTACTGCCATACTGAGGACCTGGGTTTAAGTCCTCATTTGACCAACATTAAAAATTTGTAAAAAATTAATATTTCCAAATGCAGTCTCCTCTCGACATAAAATAACAAAAACTCCTCATAAAATTCCTTCGACTTCGAAGAAAGTGCGCCCCCCCTTTTGTTGGTAAAGACGTCAAGACGTTTACGCAAATTACTGGAGGAGCTCGGCCGAAAAGCGCTTAAGCGGTAATAAATCATCAATCATATTTATAGTGAATTTTATATATGTATCCGCATATATATGTTCACTTGTGTATTCAACATGTTGATTTATTAAATTAAAAACAAAAAATTATACCTAAATTAGGTGTATAAAAATCAAGCGTCTGATCAATTCGAAAGTTAGGAGTGAAGTGAATTTCATTCCAAATTCCTCCAAAAAACCGTATTTTTTTCAAAAAAAAAAAAAAATATATTTCAAAAAAAATTAAAAAAAAAAAAAAAAATATTTATATATACATATAATATTTATAAATTTTTTTTTTTTTTTTTTTTTTTTTGTAGACAAGTAGAAAAGTAAAAAAGTTAATTGAATTTTTTTTTAAATGGCGGCTCTTGAAATTGCCGCAGAAACACGTCCCCGATGTTGGTGAGTTACACGATAACTGCTAAATGAGTCGTCTGAGAGCAAAAATCAAAACGGTTTCTTATTCTATAACACATTGGCTATGGCTGGAACTACAATAAAACATTTTCACACAAAAAAAATAAAAACAAAATGTCGGGCCTTTTAATTTGTTTACCCTTTTTTCAATGTAATTTTTTATAATTTTTTTAAATAACAATGAATATTTTTGGTTGTAAATTGCCGCTTAGATCATGTTAATAAGCCCAATAAGAGTGTCACACGGTTGAAAAAAACGTGGTTTCGAGAAAAATGCCAATAAAGTGCTCGAACAGATAGATTTACCGCATGGCGCGCTCCGCTCTCCCTTCTATTATACTTTTTTATTGGTCTTGCGGACCTGCGGGACTAATTCTATATTATTTTTAAGAGTATTTTCTAGAAAATCATGGAAATAAAAATAAATTTCGATTTTTTTTCATTTATTAGAAGAACCTGGCCTTACCTCCAAGGTGGCTTCTTATTGTAGAAGAGATATTATATATGAGTGAATCTAACGGAATGTAATGGTAGCTCTTAGAAATTTTTGAACGATGACAAGTACTAACGGGACATCCAGAACAAAAACCATTACAACGCTTTTACATTCGGGTGCCGAGCTAAGATAAACAGAGTGCTTCTAAAGCAATAAAAATATCTCATCGCTTTCAATAAACTGTTGCTGTAAAGTAATTCTGTAAAATAACAGAATGTTAACATTCTCTTGCAAAAATTATTTTGTTTATGTGGGAGATTGCAAGGAATATATAAAATAAAAAAACACCTAAAATATTTAAAAAAAAACAATTTTTTGACAATTCTAAAAATTTAAAAAATTACCAAAAATTAAATATAAATTCTGTGAACATTTCTTCCAATATATGAAAAACCTACTGTAAATATAAAATGCAAAAAAAAAATATCACTATCTAAATGTAAGGAAAAATCCTATTTCCATTTATGAACAAAATCTAGGTAAAATCAAATTTGGAAATTGAAATATTTAAATATTGAAAGAGCAAAAAATTGTTTTTAGCACGTTTTTTTATTATTTCAATCAACTTTTCTTTTGGACTCAGTTCATTTATACTTACGTTAATTCAGTTATAACCTTTTATTGAGAAATTACACTTTTAATAACTTAATAAATATTACAATATATGTAGGTAAGTATATGTGTAAGTCATAATTTCAAAAAATTCAGAATAAATTTTTTTTTTGTTACGAAATGCATACTGAAACATTAGTTTTTTCCTTCAAATACTTTTTGTCACACTATATTGTATAATATAATATATTGCCTACGTTTTCGCCATTGTCATTACCGCTTACACAATTTTATTGCACCGTTAAACAATTGCTTAATACCACATCACCGTACAGTATGCACGTACAATACATATTTCTACTTATATAATATAATTTGTGTCTAGCGGTATATAAATAACACAAATTTATTTACAAAAAAAATTTTTTTCTTTATATTACAAGAATTCGAATTTATTAAAAAATAACTATTAGTTTTTTTTTTAAATATTAATATATTTGTACAAATAATAAAATATATTTTACATTTATTACATGTATAAATATTAATTTTGTTGTTGTAAATAAGTTCGAAAACTGTATTAAGTAAAGCGAGATACTTATATATTTTTTAAATAATTTATATTTATTTTTGTATAGTTTTTAATATAAATATGGACGCATTATGTATAAAGATTTTTTTTTACAAGAATAAAAATTTAATTTGATATAATTTATAGGCGCAAACGAAAATAAATTTATTGTGCGAAAGGTTCCATTTAATACGCTCTTTTTTATCAATTTTCTATCGCGCTCACCCTTTTTTATTTTTAAACTCATTATTTTTTTTTTACTTTTTTATTTTTTTTTTTTACTTTATTTTATATTAGTTTTTTTTTTCTTTTTACTTTGAATATTATATTATTTTTTTATAATTTTTTATTTAGTTTTTTTTCTGCATTTACTTCATACATTTTTATATAAGGGATATTCATGCGAGTATCAGCTTGTGCTAATATTTTTAAGGTAGTCAGATTTTTAAAATTATTTTCTTGTTTATAAATTTAATTTTTATATTTTTTTTTTTAATTTTTCATTTTTTTTTTTAGTAATTTCCTTTTATATATTTGTATCAATTACGTACATGATATTTATTTTTCCATTGGCGTTGGTGCGTCAGCAAATATTTAACCTGATTTTCTAATACCGTCATAAGTATTTGGGGTATGTGTATGTGTAATGTGCTAATGTGTATGTAAATTCGGTTATTTATTAAATATTTTTTCATTATTGTTCTAAAGTACAAATGTTTTCGTGTTGGACAAGTTTGCAAAGCTCACTGCAATTGGCTACAAATGTTTTATGGCTTGAGATTCAAAATTATTTTATTTCTTTTTTTCACATTTTTTTTTTTACTTTCATTAATTTATTTTTATTTATTTTGTATTTAATTTAATTTTTTTTTGATTTGCGATTTAACAGTTAATAATTTTTTTTTTTTTTTTTTTTTTTGCCCTCGCAAATCTGATTGAATTTATTGATATTTGTTTTTCTAATTAAGCAGCTGCTGGTTAATCAATTTTGTAATTAATTAAATTAATGCGTTTAAAGAAAGCGATTATTTTTAGTCGAAAATTATTATTTTTTCGACTAATTCGTTAATCAATTTGCTGATTAATCACTCAATCCAATTTTGAAAATTTTTCTTATTGAAGAAGTTACAAGTTAAACATGCTGAGAGGGAAATTCCAGTTCTCAAAATTGTATCCAATACCTTACTTCAGAGAGAATGAGACAGATAGATAGATAGATAGATAGATATCTTTAAATATGTCGAATTGACCAGGCCAATCGCTTAGACTTGGTTGATATATGGCCGTTCCACTCGGTGGAGCTTAATACTCTTGCTATGAACTCTTTCTGAACATATTTAAATCGATCTTGATATAAGAGAGAGGTTAGAATTCTTATAAGAAACTGAGAGACAACTGTCTGACCTAACGCTCTTAATAAACACAAACAAGGGATTCTCAGTGCATCCCACAGTATGCGAGTTCTCAAATAGTGAGATATCAATTTGCTCTTAATCCAATATCTTGACGCTAAAGTAAGAAAAACAAGAGAAAATATTGTACATCTGTCAAAACAGGATTATAGCTAACTTTCGGCGCGTTCATAGAAAGTTGCAAGGAATCTACCAGAAATCCTTTTCCCTCGAGTAATAACTGTAAAATGAAAGCTCGGGTCGATATAGACGATAAAATTTACAGGCCGATAAAATCGATCCATATGAGTAAAATTGTCACAACAACTAGCTGCACAAGGGAAAAGAAAAATCAGTAGCATATACAGGCGCTTTTCAGTGGATGGTATCAGTGCTGTTTCCTTCAGCAATCAGTGATATCATCGTAAGAGCTCTCTTTAAACTCTGTCTCTCCTCTCTCTCCACTCTCTCTCTCTCTCTCTTTCTCTCTCTCTCTTTCTCTCTCCACTCTCTCTCTCCCCACTTTCTCTTTCTCCACTCTCTCTCTCTCTCTCTTTCTCTTTCTCCACTCTCTCTCTCTCTCTCTCTTTCTCTTTCTCCACTCTCTCTCTCTCTCTCTTTCTCTTTCTCCACTCTCTCTCTCTTTCTTTCCTTCTCTCACTCTCTCTCTCTCTCCACTCCCTTTCTCTAAACTTTCTCTCTCTACTCTCTACTCTCTCACTCTTTTTCTCCAAACTCCCTCTCACTCTCTCTCTCTCTCTCCACTCTTTTTCTATAAACTCTCTCTCTCCCCACTTTCTCTCTCTCTCCACTCTCTCTCCCTCTCACCACTCTCTCTCTCTCACACCACTCTCTCTATCTCTCTCCACACCCATTCTCTAAACTCTCTCTCTCTACTCTCTCTCTCACCTCTCTTTTTCCCCAAACTCTCTCTCACTCTCTCTCTCCACTCTTTTTCTCTAAACTCTCTCTCTCCACTCTCACTTAAATATGGTGCGAATTCGGAGGATGAGAAAGTTCATAACATTAAATCGTGAAAGGGGAAAAAGACTTATGAAGTCAAGCCTATGTTCTCCCAACTCTCTCTTACAAAAATGTTATCAACTATGACCAGATATTTAATTTACTTCCAGAGTTTGAGTTCAAAACGTAGACTCTCCCTCTCAGACATTTAAAATTGAATTTCCAAAATAATCTAATCTTGGTTTGGTTATTCATTCACGATGGGTTTTCATAATGCTTTTTCCACGCAGGCCAATTAGCCACCTAATTTCGATCCTCAATTGCATAGCGAAACTAACTAAATACGCTTACATATATATATGTATGTGTGTAACTACAGATTAGATAAGTTTAATCGTTCTCCTTAAGTTTTCAACAATTTAAAGCTCCTTTTCATCTACACTAAATACTTAATAACGGCATTTATGAAGCCGTACCCGCACGCGCACGTACCATACGCAAGCGATCCTGCAAATAATCACAGATCGAAGAATATTTCTGTTGACGTGCCACCTGCAAGGCCGTTAAACCCTCCTGATTTTTCTGCATTATATCACTACCGGCGGCGATCAACTGCTTACAAACGGTTAAATGGCCAAACATGGCAGCCGCATGCAACGCTGTCTCGCCATTCTAAAAATAGAAAAAATTATAATTATTTATATGCTACATTTAAGACGCTCTATCACGATCTACTCACCGGTAGCAAACCCAAATTGGGTCTGTGCTTCAACAGCTCAGTCACTACAGCTGCATGTCCTTTATGCGCCGCCTTAAAGAGGGGTGTCGCACCATCGCAACGTACCGCATCCACGAATGCACCATTTTGCAACAACACTTTACATATATGATCGTGTCCCATTTGTGCGGCAATCCAGAGTGGTGTGGCACCGTCTATGCGCTTCATATCCGGATTGGCGCCAGCGGTTATGAGAAGAGATAACACTGTTCGGTGACCATTTTGTGCAGCTATAAAAACGGGTGTGGCACGATCCTGCGGAAAAAGAGAGGAATTGAAAAATATTTATATTTTACATTTATTTAAGGATTTTCGAAATTTTCATAAAATAAATCATCCCACCCGAGTTTTTATTTGGGTTTCTGACTTCTCTAAAATTAATCCTTTTCTAGGGGCGCAGGATCTATCAAAAGGCGTTAGTTAAAAGTCCAATATTGCCCTCGGAGCCATAAATTCTTTGATGTAAGACGAACTGCAACCTACATACAACTCTTCAACCAAAAAGTCTGTCAATGACTTCCTCTCTCTTCTATATATATAAAAGGCTTTGTCATCTTAGTGAACACAAACTGGTAGCCTTGCTTTGTAGAGAAGAGTTCATGGTTTTCGCATTACCTTCCCAGACTTTATTACTTTTTTTTTATATCAAAAAAACCGATGTCCTGCTTATTTTCTCCTGAAATAAGGATCACCTTAATGATAACCCGGCAGAAAGATCAAGGAAAGCTATAACTGCACTCTACGCCCACAAAACGTCGATAGGAAAAAGATGGAGTCTAAGACCGAGTATCCTGCGCTGGATATACACATCGGTAGTTAGACCAATCCTTTTCTACGGGTCACCTTCTGGTGGCCAGCACTCGATAAAATCCTCTTCAGGAGCAAATTAGAGAAGTAGAGAAACTCCTTCGAAAGCACTGCTAACTTTTCTCAACCTACTTCTTCCGAACCTATACGGGAAACTACAAGCGGGTTATAACGCAATAATATCGAATGCAATTCAACCTTGGAATAATTACAGTATAAGACATACAAAAATATTATCTCTTACAGAAGTGTCCAAGAAGCTGGACTGCATCACCTTCAGCTCCTCCGACCAGAGAGCATTAGCCATCTTCACAGACGGCTCGAAGCTTGGTGGAACGGTGTGTTGCATATTTATTCTCCCGTGGAACTCTTGGAGGAACTTTTCGCAATCATAAAGGCCGCCGGTTGTACCATCAAGGGAAGGAACGCTTCTATCTCCAACAAAACACGCATATGATGCTGGTTTACCTCTGTCCACGGCTAAGTGCAGGCTTCAGCTGGCCTTCATCAGGGAAACTGACTCACGTTGGTTGAACGAGATCACGTGTAACGTGGCCAGACAGCTATGGCCGAAGATGGATGCGAAAAAATCTAAACATTTTATCCATCTGGGCCGGTTCTCTATTAACGTAACGACTGGTATAATAACTGGACACTGTTTAATGGGGCTTCATGGGTATAGGATGGGCTATTACTCTAATGATTTCTGACGCAGCTCTAGGGACGAAGAAGAGAAAAAAACCATCGAGCACTATCTCTTCTATTGTCCAGCCTTGATATCCGCCCGACCCAAGTTTCTTGAGAAAGACTTCTTCGACTGTCAAGCTGAGTTGGCCTCAGCGAACATTGGAAATCTCTTTGCGTTTATAAAGCACACGAAACGGTTCGATCATTTGATGAAGACAGGATCCTCAGCGGTAACACAATGGGGCTATTGGCCTAAGTGTTGGGGTTCACCAGCAGCCGAATCAACAGATGTTGACTCAATGACGACCCTTCGTTTTACAACTGTAAATGACATTAAAAGTGTATCGCTGAAATAAGTAATGGTTATCTCAAAGATCACGCTTCAGAAGCGTTTCGAGGATTAAACTGAAACTAGTTCATAACCTCACACCTTTAATTGAAACTATACTAAAATGCAAAATCCGAATAGACATTCGAAAAGTTTGCGACTATAGTGTAAAGATTCGTATAAGAAGAGCTATCGCTTTTTCGAAGTACTCTTCATAGGTTATCCTTACACAGTTTTCAATTACATTGAAAAAATATAAATAATTTATTATTAATGATTATCTTAGGTTCAAGACATATAAAGAACTATAGCTTTGCTTTTAGATAAAAGAAATCAGACGTATAGATCAAACCCGGGGCTTGAAGTTAGATCGGAAAACATGGTTTCGAGAAAAACGCGTTCAAAGTTTTTTGAAAGTTTGCGTTGCGTGCCTACGTGCGTGAAACAGGTGTGTTCGAATGCTGCCATTTGAAAAATATTCATCGTTTTGCAAAGTCCCTTTAAACACACGCTCTCTACAAATATATGACTTTCATTTTTCCCATAAAAAAAAATCCAATATCAGGGGAGTGTCCGCTTAAAACACTCATATCAAGAAGGTGTGCAAGAAACCCATCTTATTAGTGCTCATTATCAGCTATTCAAATTCCAAGACGCAAAACTAGACTAGAAGTTTACATAACTAAAGAACTGAAAGTCGACTTACCTTCATGCAAGCGTTCACATTAGCGCCACAATCCAACAACTCCCGAACCAATTTCACATAACCACCCTGAGCGGCGACAAAAAGTGGTGTGCCGCCGTCCTGTAGAACGAAAGAGATTATTATTATTTTTTTATTTCATTATAATATGTTGTTATTTTTCCCTTTTTTGTATTGATAAAAGAAAATTCATAAAAATTTATATGAAATTAATACTTAATCTTGGTTGAATTAGTTGACTGATAATTAAAACAGTCTCTCTGGTTTCTTTATGGGATTGATACCCTGCATTACATGGTGTTGATACCCTTTTGTCGGGCAACACTATGATGTTGTTTTTTTTAGTATACTCATAAAGAAGATAATTGGTTCGAAAATTCGCATGGGTTACAGTGGGAATGTCATGAGTGAACGCATTGCTTCCTCAAGGAAATTTTGATGTAAAAGATTCATCTCGTTCTGGTAGGTCAGTCACTCAATAAACCAATGAAGTTCTACCACTGATGGAAAAATACCGACATGAAAGCTGCCAAAAGATGGCGGTGGCATTAGACGTCGCTTGCGTAACAGTTTGGAATAATGGAAAAAAGGCTGGCTACCCAAAGAAGCTCGATGTTTGGGTGACACAAGAATATAAGCAAAAAATAAAAAAATTAAATATGAGTACATAAAAAGGAAAGGCAGGTGAAACAACTTTAAAGCCTCAATTGAACACAAACATAGTGAAGGAAATTGTCTACTATGAGCTGCAACAAATTGGTGAAACAGTCAACTCTGAGCTCCAATGTTACCTATCTAAAAAACTCTTCATGACCAGGCAAAAATTCTTTGGAAGCACCCAAGTTTTGATACACCTTCCATATACGAGGTGTGACAATTAAGTAATGAGACTGATTATATTGCCGCGACTTCGAAATTCGGTTTCCCTTCTCTCGGCATCCTTCTCCTCTCCATTGATATATTTGCCATCGCTTTAGCTTATTTAGTTCGCCTGCTGTGTCGTGTTGAGTTAACATGTGTTCGTGGGGCTCCTCACGAAAAGGGAAAAACGAAATCAAGAGCAACGCGTTGCGCACCAAATTGGGCGAAACAGCTACGGAAACGTATGCTAAAATTGTAGAAGTACATGGGGATAGTGCTCTTAGTCGTGCCCAGGTGTTTCGATGGCATAAAGAGTTTAAGGAGGGGTGTGAAAGCATGGAAGACGAGGTGCGCAGCGCGAGACCAGTCGAGGTGCGTGGAATTGCCCACAAAGAATTTCTTCCACCGGGGCAAACCGTAAATCAAGTCTACTATCGCCATGAATCGTATATCGTATGTGGGTCGGTTTTTGAACCAACTGACTACCATTTCGTTTCGATCTCTGCAAAGCGCTCTTGATGGTAAAATATTTGTTGGATCCCTTACTGATAATCATTTGGTTAAGTTCTTCGCCGGTAAGCAGCAGAAATTCTACACTAATTGAATTATAAATCTATCCGGAAATTTACAAAAAGAGCTAGATGAAAAAAGAGAATGTTGTTAAAAAATATAGCAAAAATGTTGCCACCTTTTTAATTGTCAATATTTTTTATTACTTAAAGTCAACTAAACTCCTTTTTATTAGATACAAATCCTATTCATAATTTAGTTGGACTAACTAAAAAAAAATGGTAATTAAAAAATTGCTTGTGGTGTGTCGTAAACAAATTAACCTTTAAAAAAATTTAATTTAATTTAATTTAATTTAATTAGTAACAAATAATCGCTAAATGAATGATTTTAATTAATCAATATTTTTTTTTTTTTTGTTCAGATTTGATTGATTAATTATTCAATAATATTTGTACACTTACCACCGATGGCGTATCTACGCTAGCACCGGCTTTTATTAATATTTTAACTACATCCAGGTAGCCACCCTGTGCGGCGAAAAATAACGGTGTTGTGCCAGTAGCGCGACGGGAATTCGGATCAGCACCCTGTTCAAGCAACTCCAAAACACAGGGTGTATGACCGCCAGCTGCTGATAAAATGAGGGGTGTAGTGCCATCCTGAAAGAAGAAAAAAGTTTGGAATTATTTACTTTTGACTCATCCAAAAAAAATAATAAATTGTATAATGATGATTTCAAGCGCAATTACGAATTATTTGTTAAAATAATTTACGCCTTTAAATTATGATTAATATATAGAATTATCTTTAATTGATCTAGGGAAACTACTTAATTTTTTTTTTTTTTTTTTTTTTTTTTTTTGAATAAGAAAAAAATTTTTTTTTTGTTTATCGATTATTTTTCCTTACTTTCCAAATTATTTTGCAAACAAAATTCAATTTATTATATTTTATTGTTTTGTTCCGTATTAAATTCCTCTCAATTGCGCATTCCGTGCAATTATGCAACGCTACCGCAAATTTGCGTAATTCAAACCTATGAAATTGAAATTTAATCAGTTTCACCAAATGAAATCGTAAGAATGAATATGAATATAAAAAAAGTAAAAACTGGTTATTTTGTTTGCGTATAATATCTAAAGCACATACATATAACATACTCGTGTAATACATACATTGTGTGCACCGAAGGTATTTATTTTACAATTTCGCCATATCAAATGCAGGCAAGTGATTTGATTAAACCACAGCCAAAGCAAACGGCGAAATCATAGAAATTATTAAAATCACTGATATGAGAAATTGCTTACATACATATGGATGCACGTGTATGTGGTGAGAATAGGTTACTAGGCGCCTGAATAATTATATTGCAGGTTGAGTGCGAGATCGTCTTATGTTAGAATTTCGTTGCAGAAGGTTATAACCTCTACAAAAGACTCATGAACACACACTCTATTAACCCCAATTTCATGTTCTACTATATGGTTTTCTCTAAGCAAGTTTTCGAAATTTGCTGAGAGAGAGTAATCTATGAGTTAGCAGACGTTATTTAACTTTCATTTCTCTTCGGCTTTTTATTCTTTTTCATCGGCATGGGCATCGCTTACACAATTATAACCGAATCAACAATAATACGCCAATTCGATTCTTCCCTTCAATGTTCGACACCAGTTGGAACTACCAAATAAAACCACATCGCTCTCCATCTGATCCATCCAACGGAGTCAAGGGCTTCACTCTCTCTCTGCCTCTGCTTCTACCAATGGGTACTGTATCGAATACTTTTTATACAGCTTGAGGTAAATAATTTCAAAAATTTATGGAGATATTTATCATATTTCATATTTGTACAGCCACTCCCAGACAAAGCCTTGCATAAGATGGCTTAAAAATTAATGGCTGAGTTGGAATCACAATTTCCTCTCCTTCTTTATTCTTTATTGGCGTTGGCACCGCTTACGCGATTATAGCCAAATTAATTATAGCGAGCCATTCATCCCCTTTTTTGTGCTGCTTAGCGCCAGTTGGGAATACCGAGTGAGGCCAATTCACTCTCCACCTGAACCCTTCAACGGAGTGAGGTCTTCCTCTTCCTCTGCTTCCACCAGCGGGTACTGCATCGAATACTTTCAAAGCTGGAGGGCTTTCATCCATTCGGACCAAGTGAGCTAGCCAGCGTAGCCGCTGTCTCCTCATTCGCTGAACTATGTCAATATCGCTGTATTACTTGTACAGCTCATCGTTCCATCGTCTGCGGTATTCGCCGTTGAACTTTTCTCTCGAAGACTCCCAAAGCAGACTCATAAACTCTTGACATTGTCCACGCTTAGGACTTTACTTTTCAACTGCCTGCTTAGTCCAAAGTAGCACCTGCTGGCAAGAGTGGCGTTGGATTTCATTATTGATGGTGTTGATGCTGGTTCCTACAGAGACGAAATTATCTACGACTTCAAAGTTATGACTGTCAACAGTGACGTGGGAGCCGAGTCGGGAATGCGACGACAGTTTGTTTGATGATAGAAGATATTTCGTCTTTTTTCTGGTTCACTACCAGACCCATATCCTTCGCCTTCTTATCCAGTCTAAAGAAAGCAGAACTAATGGCGCGGTTGTTAAGGCCAATAATGTCGATATCATCGGCGTACGCCAGAAACTGTACACTCTTATAGAATAGTGTACCTTCTCTATTTAGTTCTACAGCCCTTATTATTCTCTCGAGCATCAAATTGAAGAAATCGCACGACAAAGAGTCACCCTGTTTGAAACCTCGTTTGATACCGAACGGCTCGGAGAGGTCCTTCCCAATTCTGACCGCGCTTCTGGTGTTGTCTAGCGTCAGTTTACTTAGCCGTATAAGTTTGGCGGGGATAGCAAATTCAGACATAGCTGCCTAAAGGCAGCTCCTATTCGTGCTGTCCAAGGCGAAGGCGGTGGATGCATGCACCTCATCAGCTCTTCACCGCCATATTTGTATAGCTCTGCCTGTAGGCCGTCAGCCCCTGCCGCTTTGTTGCTTTTTAAGCGCGCAATCGCTATTCAGGTAACGGAACGTCTGCTCCATCTTCATCGATTGAGATTTCGGATTCACCGTCTCCGGGTGTTTTGCTTTCACTGCCGTTCAGCAGGCTGGAGAAGTGTTCCCTCCATAAATTCAGTATACTCTGGGCATCCGTCACTAGATCATTCCTCTGGGTCCACAATTTACTAGGTACAAATGGCAATAAGAAAGTCTCCTCATAAATATTTGCTGTTAAAGTGACTAGAGCGTAACTACAGGCACCTGACTTATAAAAAAGAAGAGAATCCCTATCTAGATTGTTATCCTTAGGTCTTAGTTTTTTTATAGCACGAAGAGCATAGTGATTGCACTATATACAAGGAAGAGGGAATTTGCATATGAACAAGCCGCATCAGGGTAGAATTAATTTAAACCCCTCCCCAAATTCGGGTACACCTGGTCGAAATAAGATAAGAAGAGATATGTGATATGTACTCCTTACAAAGGGTCCAAAGTAATTGGAGAGCAGGCCACTGTCTGACAGGATGACACGCGGTAAAACTAGGTTCTTCGTATATAAGATGCTGCAGAAGCTACAAAGAGAATGGAGCGGAGGAAATGCTCACCCATCTCTTATGCGACTGTCCTGCTTTGAGTAGAACTAGATTTAGAGATTCAAAATGACTCGATAATGGGTCTTAGCCAGGCTTAAATGAATTCGATACGACTGATTGGTATCCACCACAACCAAACCTAGCCTAACCGACCAAATTCATACATCCGAAGAGACACTTTTCCTTAATCTGACTTACATGCTCTGAATAACGCGGTTTCTACCACACAGTATTTTTAAGGCGATATATCAGAGCGGCTGCGATAGCCGAGGCTTTAGCATTGCGTAGTGCCATTCGGAAGGCTCGGTTTCAAATCCCCATTGGACCAACAGATGTTGGAAAATTAATTTAAATAAAAAATTAAGTTAAATTTTCTAATTGCGGTCGCCCCTCGGCAGGGAATGTCAACCACTCCGAGTGTATTTCTGAGATGAAAATCAAAAGCTCCTCATAAAAAACCATCAGCCGTTCGGAAGCGGCTTAGTATAAACTGTAGGTCCCTGCATTTGATGGAAAAACATCAAGATACGCATAACAAATTGGAGGCGGAGATCGGTCGAAAATCGCTTCATCAATTCCAAAGCTCCAATTATCATTATTATTATTATTATTATTATTATTATTATTATTATNGTATAAACTGAAGGTCCCTCCATTTGTTGGAAAAACATCAAGATACGCATAACAAATTGGAGGCGGAGATCGGTCGAAAATCGCTTCATCAATTCCAAAGATCCAATTATCATTATTATTATTATTATTATTATAATTATAATTATTATTATATTATGGCGTCTACGAAAGAAAAATCTGCAGATTAAGGGGAGGGGTTCTTCCACCGGCTGAATTTTTTTCAGATTTTCCTTGCACATTTTAAGTTCGTGTTTCTCAGTGGGAAAAGATTTCGATGGCTTTCAATTTGCCCAGAATAAACCAAAGCTAATTAAGGGATAGGAAAAAGTGACTCTTCTGCTGACAGCTGAATAAAATTTCTAACACATTTCCTTTTTTCACAACCCACATGATTAATATATTCGCTAATTTACCCAAAAAAAAAAAAAATCACGCGCACCAATTGGCAATGAGCCACGAAATTTCACTAGCCCCATTTGCGCAGTTGCAACATTTCACACTACACGCAGAGTTGCTTCGGTGTGTACTCTGCCAAACATAACGCTGCGCTGAGGCAATGTGAATTGCATACGAAATTAATTTTCGCTCGAGTGCAATTTTTTTTTTTAGCATTGCATGAGAGGCGTGAGGCGTTGTTGTTGCACGAAATGAGTGCAGACGTGATTCGATTTGCCCACACCCTCCATTCGGTTCGGTTCGGTTCCGTTAGGTTTGAAATTAATGCGCAAGCCAAAAGCGTAAACATCGAAATGTATGAAAAAAAGTAGCAAACATGCACATAATCATACATACATACATACGTACGTACATACATATGGTGTGTACGCGCGTGAATTGAGGTGTTGCCGCCAAAAAAGGTGTTTAGTGTTTGCCGGTGAAAATTTATTATTGTTTTGATTTAATTTTTTGCGCCAAGCATACTAAGTGCACGTCTAGGCCTGAGAAAAGCGAAAGTATTTGGCAAATATCGAGGAGTTTTACTAATAAGGAAAATTAGTGTTTCAATAAGAAATTGGAAAAGGAAATGACAACAGGGTCCGGCACTCCAATTGGAACCAATTAAAAAGGCCAGAAATTCAGTTTGGAGAATTACTTTTAATAAATTCAAGGTGCAAACCGTTTGAAAATAATACAAAATTTCGGAAACCAATTGCTTTTGCTCGATAATATCACCTTTCGCTTTGACACTGGTCTTTATACGGTTCAAAAACGAATCGCAAGCTACCCGATAGCAGGTATTTCGGTCTACTAACGGATAACGGCTATCTTTAGCGCATCGAGACTGGTGTATTCTTTAGTTCGAACGTTGCTCTCCAAAATGGCCTAAAAGAGAATTATATATCGGACTAGCGTCTGGTGAATTCGAGCGTCATTGTGTGAACGTTTTGGAGCTCGAAACGCTGTTTTTCAGCCATTCTTGGCAGACTAGTGCTTTGTGAAACGGTGCTGAGTCCTGTTGGAACGTTCATGGTTTGCGCACGGCTACAAAGCAACATCGAGAATAATTTTCCGATAATATTGTGCATTTATGTTGATACCAGGCTCGTTGAAAATGATTATAAAGCACCCATCTGCGATTACAGCGGCCCAAACCATTATCGGTGGCCAAACAAAGACTTAAATTCTTGTATGAACGTTCGGTCAAGTAAATACTATAGTTTTGAGAGTTTACGGATTTCTCTACCTTGCAGATCGATGGTTTCGTTATTTGTGCGACACGTGGATAGCGCAATCCATTCACCTCATTTTCAAAAAAAAGTAAGGTCCAAGACCCGTCGGATCATAAACCGCACCAAATAATTACCCGTTGAGACTGGAGGAGGTCTTTTTTCGAGCCTCAGATGTAACAGTTTTGCTTATAGACGTAGCCAGCGAGCTGGGAATGGGGCTCATAAGCTTCTAAAAACCTTAGATAATATTTCGTATAATTTTCATGCATTTCAAGGAGCCAATCAGCAAAGACAGGTTGTTGTTGATGATCTACCGGCTTGAGTTCTTGTGTTAACTAAACTTTAAAAGCCTTAAGAGCCAGCTCTCTATGCATAATACGGTGTATTGGCGTTTTTGGAAGGACCAATTCCAAAGATCCACAAGGAATGGACAAACCTGTGCTCCCGTCAACACTTTTGGGTCACAGCAGCAATATTCTCAGTTTTTCTTGAGCGGCGTGCACGTGTTTTATTCTTCACATCACTAACTTGTCCCAATAACTCCATTTTTTCCACCAATTTTCGTATTGCGGTCCGACAAGATGCTTCACGACGACCGAAAACTGTTTAAGTTTTACGTACCGTCTCTGCCAGGTTTCCACCATTTTTATAGTGAAATTTAATCATTTTTATCACTGGTGTAGTTTCAAAAAAATATAGCTTGAGAAGTGACGTCTACCGGAGTGGCGGGCTATTAAAAATTACACCTCTTATTGGAAAACCCTTTACAAAAGAGTCCTTCTTTTATTTTTTACACAGCGACTCTCTTTAAAATCTCCTCATGCTCCTGCTTAAATTGTAATTAATTTAGCTGAAAAACACATCAATCGCATACTTGTGCACCCTTAGTGGGTAAAAAATATTTTCAGGAATATCTATTTGTAAATATAAAATGAATACCATCTAAGAATGTGGCCTTGACTCATCACTTGATATTCAGGTTTACACACACACATAAGTAAATCTGCATTTATATTTTTAGTACTTCATCGCAAGTATGTACTCGAAACGAGACCAAAAACAAGCAAACTTTAGCACCACAAAAAGGGGGAATTTATTCAAACAATAAGGGTGTTCACAATACGTAACAAGCAGCGGTATTTTATAGCGAAAGTTTAATGCAGCATCGGGTTACAGATGACAAGAGTATAATTTAAAGCGCTCCGTTCCCAAAAGTTGGCTCCAGCTAATAGTTGTGGCCGATCCTTGAAATGATTCCCTATTTCATCGGAACCGTTCCACAGCTCTCAACAAAAATTAGTGGCATGTTGCCGCCACGAAATTGTCCGGATGTGTGTTTAATAAACAGCATTTGCTTGAAGTTTTGATTTTCCATTTTAATTGAAAGAAAAGTGCAGCTGAAGCTCATCGAATGCTAATGGAAGTTTATGGTGAAACTGGACCGATTGATGCCTCATGCAGAAAGTGGTTTCAACGTTCCAAAAGTGGTGATTTTAACATCGAAGACAAAGAACCTACTGAGCTGCTAAAACCAGGCGAAACCATAGAAGAGAAACATTATCGGAGAAAAACGATCGAATGGCATAACAAGATGATTTTGTAACATGACAATGCTGTAAAGGTCAAAAACTATCTGGAAATGTTGAAATGGTTATCTCAAGATCTCGTGCATTCGAACTACTGGCTTTTTCGACAGATGGATTTGGAAGTGACCGGTCAAATCGGTTAATGCTGAATCACCACAGCGGAGATCGTGATATGGTTGCCTATAATACCAGATTCCGGAAAAAGAAAACTCATCAATCTACTTGGATGTTTCCCAAACGAGTTCCTTGTAATAGATGACCGATAGATTGTCTCCAGTTTTCTATATATTATATGACTACGCTTCGTGGACCAAACATCAAGTTGAGCCACTATCTTATTTCAAGGAAAATACTAACTCTCCTCTGTGCGGTCACGAACACAATAAAAGTTAGATGTCGGGAAGCTGCAATAACAACAGACAACCGAATGATTTTCTGCTCGACTCTCATTCCTGCGCATTGAGGGCACTCATCAACAGTTCGATATAAGAGAATTGTGGGTGGACATATCAACTCCCTACCAGTGGTAGATAAATTTTAGATAACAAAACTGTTGGAGATCAGAAGCAGAGTTGGTACGGTGAGAATTGTCGTACCCCAGTAAAAAGAAATACCGACAGTTGAAGAGGGCAGCGAGACCTATTTGCAGACAGAAAAGGCTTAACAGTACCGAACTATATGAGTTTGAAGAGCTTGAGAAGCTTAAGAAACTTGTTAAAAATTTAAGGGACTTATAAAAGGTTATAGGAACGGCGCACGCGCATGTAGGACCAAAAAAGGGGATCTGGTTAGTATACTGAATTTATGGAGGCAACACTTCTCCAGCCTGCTTAACGGCTGTAAAAAACATAACACCCGATGATAATGAACCCAAATTTCCCATCGATGACGATACCAATACGCATTCCATTATTCGATTAAGAAGAAGTTCAAATATGTAGTAGTGAAGAGCTCCACATAAATCGGGAAGGAATGCAATCCAGGAAAGACCGCCACTCTTTTTGGAAAGATCAGTCGTGGAACGATCTGGCTTCACTTGGTACCTACAATTGGCACCTAACAGCAAGAAGAAGAATTTATCACACTCGTGAATGCCCTTCATTAATTTTTTCACTATATTTATTTATTAATGCATATCGCTGACAAAATGTTAAAATGACCTAAGTAACTTTAAAAAATTCCATGTTAAACTGGATTTTTTCCCTTCTTCACAAAAAGTTTAATATCTATTGTTAGAGCTTTACAGCATTTCATCAAGGAATCTGGATTTCTTGCTATAAATATGTATTATTGTGTATATATGTACATATATATGTATGTATGTTTACCTCGTCTTTACAATCCACATGCACTTTGCCACTATCAAGTACACGCCGCAGGTTGATCTCGTCACCACGGAGTGCTGCCAAATGCAAGAGCACGTCGGATGGTGTTTCTTTCTGCAAGAAAGAGAAGAAAAAAATTAATTAAAAAAAAATGTATGTGAATAAGAACAGGTGTACATATGTGGCGAACTCATTTCAAAGGGAATATGTTCTTAAAATATTTATAAATATGTATATGTATGTATATATATATGTACGTACATGCGAAAATAAAATAAGGTAAGAAAAAAGAAACTCTCTTATGTATGTTTCCATGTTATAAGACATGTCATGTAGTCATGTGCATAAGATCTCACACACATAAATATTTGATTACAAATCAAATTCACTCAGTACAAGCTGATGACCCTTTTCCATGTTGCTACTTACATACGTTTATATTTATGTTGCAATAAAAAATCAATAAAATTCACATCGGTGTTGTAAGAGACGCAAAACCAAATTAGTATACACAAGGAAAATCTCATATTACTTGAGGGGGAAAAAATAAAAAAATTAAAAAAAATTATTTTACAGCCTCATAGACTTCGTTAGCAACACAGCAGTAGCGTTAATAGAAATGAGGTGCCAACTTTATGCTTGCAACAAATGTGATGCAACAGCAGCGACGTTTCATATTTCACACAGCTGTTTTTTAGGTTGAAATCTATAAAGAGACTCTTATTAAGTAGCTAAGTAAATGTATGAGACTAACGGAAAAGCTCAAAGGCGCATGCATACATACATATGTACATAAAAAACTTTGCCGCACCTGATGCTGCAAGAAATATTGTATATGTATACTCGTACGGCTCGTGAGTAACTACCTATAGCCCGGTCACACCAAACAACAAACCAAATCATCGACAACGCGACGCGTCAAACGACCGGCTGGCATTTGCCGCACTGCGCTTGTGGCAATATTACATTGTTGCTGTTATTGTGTGTCTTGCTAAATACGCCTGTGTGTCATCAGGTGTTGGCGTAATCTTATATGTGTGTGTCTACAGTTATATTTACACTTTTGAGAATGAACTTTTGATCAGTCTCAGTGGTAGCACCTAAATTGGCCGACGTACATGTTTGCCATAAAACTAAACTGACTTGTTAAATCTTAAATTACCAATGAAATAACATTGGAATTGTATATCGATGATATAATATTTATTATTTTGTTTTATTTTTTTATACGATTTTTTTTATTTATGTTATTTTAATTTATTTTATTTTGTTTTATTTTATTTTATTTTATTTTATTTTATTTTATTTTATTTTATTTTATTTTATTTTATTTTATTTTATTTTATTTTATTTTATTTTATTTTATTTTATTTTATTTTATTTTATTTTATTTTATTTTATTTTATTTTATTTTATTTTATTTTATTTTATTTTATTTTATTTTATTTTATTTTATTTTATTTTATTTTATTTTATTTTATTTTATTTTATTTTATTTTATTTTATTTTATTTTATTTTATTTTATTTTATTTTATTTTATTTTATTTTATTTTATTTTATTTTATTTTATTTTATTTTATTTTATTTTATTTTATTTTATTTTATTTTATTTTATTTTATTTTATTTTATTTTATTTTATTTTATTTTATTTTATTTTATTTTATTTTATTTTATTTTATTTTATTTTATTTTATTTTATTTTATTTTATTTTATTTTATTTTATTTTATTTTATTTTATTTTATTTTATTTTATTTTATTTTATTTTATTTTATTTTATTTTATTTTATTTTATTTTATTTTATTTTATTTTATTTTATTTTATTTTATTTTATTTTATTTTATTTTATTTTATTTTATTTTATTTTATTTTATTTTATTTTATTTTATTTTATTTTATTTTATTTTATTTTATTTTATTTTATTTTATTTTATTTTATTTTATTTTATTTTATTTTATTTTATTTTATTTTATTTTATTTTATTTTATTTTATTTTATTTTATTTTATTTTATTTTATTTTATTTTATTTTATTTTATTTTATTTTATTTTATTTTATTTTATTTTATTTTATTTTATTTTATTTTATTTTATTTTATTTTATTTTATTTTATTTTATTTTATTTTATTTTATTTTATTTTATTTTATTTTATTTTATTTTATTTTATTTTATTTTATTTTATTTTATTTTATTTTATTTTATTTTATTTTATTTTATTTTATTTTATTTTATTTTATTTTATTTTATTTTATTTTATTTTATTTTATTTTATTTTATTTTATTTTATTTTATTTTATTTTATTTTATTTTATTTTATTTTATTTTATTTTATTTTATTTTATTTTATTTTATTTTATTTTATTTTATTTTATTTTATTTTATTTTATTTTATTTTATTTTATTTTATTTTATTTTATTTTATTTTATTTTATTTTATTTTATTTTATTTTATTTTATTTTATTTTATTTTATTTTATTTTATTTTATTTTATTTTATTTTATTTTATTTTATTTTATTTTATTTTATTTTATTTTATTTTATTTTATTTTATTTTATTTTATTTTATTTTATTTTATTTTATTTTATTTTATTTTATTTTATTTTATTTTATTTTATTTTATTTTATTTTATTTTATTTTATTTTATTTTATTTTATTTTATTTTATTTTAATTTATTTTATTTTATTTTATTTTATTTTATTTTAATTTAATTTAAAGGAAATAAACATGATTTTCTTGGCACACTACAGTAATCGTTTAACATAACGGTTATTTTAATTATTTTCCTTTATTTTCGAAAAGTTGCCGAAATTGGAGGTAAATATCAGCTTTGTATGCCACTTTGCTGCTACTATTTTTGGTGCGCCCACTTTATTGCAAGCGGCAGCTGTCGATGAATTATCTTTATGCAATCATGTATACACTCGAACATACTTTGATATTTATAAATGTCAATCGCTATCGTACAGAAATATTCGCAATTAATTGCAACACAATTCAAATAGAAAAAAATTATAATATTTTATTTATAATGAAGTAACAAATTAAAAAATTTTCGGAAAGTTAGTTAGTGGGTTATAGTTTTTATTTGAATTGATGCAAAGATTTCATGAAAGATTTTTTTATGATTTAATAGTTTGAAAAACTAACCTTAAAATTAAAAAAAAAAACTTTTTTCTTGTTGTAAGGAATCGTGTTTTATTTTTGGTATTATTTCTAATTTTCCAAGACGAAGAAAATAAGCGCTGCTAAAATAGCAAACTGTTATCGCATTTGGCAAATTTAATTCAACAAACAGCCCGTGAATTTACCTTTGATGAAAGCTTATAAATAAACCGCTCATTTGCATCAACACCTCAACTGCTTAGTTTTTTATTTATTTATTTTCTAGTTGCACACAAATTGCATTGTTTTTGCATTCATTGCCGCCGCTTTGTCGGCTTGTTTCTTTGCATTTAAGTTTTCATTTACATTTTTCATTTTTTTCGCAAATTCTCGCCCTCCACCTTTGGCTACTGCCGGCTAATTTGTGGTCAGAGTGAATATTTGTTGTACTTTTCCTCACAATTTTTTCACTTTATACTGCCACAAGCCCCTCTTGTTTGTTGCTGGCAACGGAAGCAGGCATAAAACAATACTAAAAGGCAGTAAAAAAAGACACTTTAGCCACAAGAATGATAAATACAGCGGCGCAGTTTGTTTGTCACAACGCCCCAAGCTGTCGGTCGCCGGAAGTGCAATTTTCGAATATTTTATGGGTTCAGATACGAAAAAAAGGAGAAACAACAAATATGCTTTGACGTAAATGGTGAATATTTTAGAGCTTGAGGTGGCATGATTGAAAGACAGACGCGGCAAACAATTGCCTACAAACATAGATTTACACAAGTGTTCATACAAGTACATATACTTATTAAAAGATCTATGTATGTAGGCATGTATGCCCTCGTCTTGTGCGCAAAACCACTTTAACTGCTCGATTTAAACTTGTGTTAATGAGGCGAAATAATTTCAAATTAGTCTACCTTAAATGAAAAGAAATTGCAAATGACGCACCGAAGAGTCATAAACTAAGCGAGGAAAGAAGTGCAAAATGTGTAGTATATGAAAATGAATTTCTACGCTAAAGAAAGGTTCAGAAAAGCAAAAGTGTGCTCATTAATTGCACCCAAAGCAAATAGAAGAAAAAATAGTATTAATAAGCAAAAAAAAAACGAAACAAAGTCTGACATTTGAATTTACGTGCATGCCGTGGTGGAAGTGATTTCGACACGCAATATGCATGAAAAAAATATATATTTACATATGGTTATCCATTTCGTAGTTTCAAAAGTTTTATTTTGACAACTGTCAAGTTTGACTGTCAAACCAAACATGTTTTGTTTTAGTCAAAAGTCAGGAATGCATGAAAATGGATCGCTTAACAACCGCACAACGTGTTAAAATTGTTAAAATTGACTACAAAAATGTTGATGAAAATGTGGCCTTAATTCTTGCTCTAAGACGAATGCACAAAATTTGTCCAGCTACTCAAGTAATTGATAAAATGTTAAAGAAATTTAAAGAGACTGATACGGTTTGAGATATCGTAATGCCGGTGCTTCATCATTTTGCCCGTTCGCCCTCAAATATCGCTGCTGAAAATGAAAGTCCACCTTTAAAGATCTTTCTTATGGCACAAGGTGGCGTATTTTACTCATGAACTTGCACCTTCGTACATATAAAGCCCAGCTCGCACAGCAACTGAAGCCAGTCACAGCGCCATATGTCCATTAGGTGCTTCAACAACAATCAGTGGAGGGCGATTTTTCGAACAAAATTTTCTTCAGCGACGAGGCACACTTCTCACTCAAGGGATACGTAAATATGTAAAATTGTCGCGAATTCTTAAATAACTGAATGGATGTCATTGCGCCCCAAAAAGAAACTTACTGTCTGATGCGCTCTTTGGTCTAGGAGTTTGCCTGGACTTTGTTTCTTTAAAAACGACAACGCCGAGACTGTTGCTGTCACTTTGGAGCGTTACGATCGTATGATAATCGACTTTTATTGGGCCTGCTATCAATCACGACTTGGACAATATGTGGTTTCAACAAGTTGGTGTCACAT